TTAATTTGTCATTTATTAAAATTATAAATATATATTTTAACTCAAAAGTACAGTTTTTAAATGTAATGTTGCTAAAACAACAAAATAATGCGCTCAGTGGATCTGCACTCGACAGTGCAGCCTAGGCGGAGTAGTCGAACGCAGATCCACTGAGCGCTCAACACAGACAGCATCATCGAAAGAAAAGTTGACAAAATAAATAAAAAATTTTGTATTGTTCGATACATATGCGTACCAAACCGAAAGCACTGTATCGAACGGTTCAATATCGATACGAGTATTGTTGGACCTCTAGTTAGCAGATGCCATTGATAAAAACAGTGAAGTGAAGTAATCACTTAAACTTATCTCCACTGCTGTGTAATCACTTATTACAAATTACAATTTTTTAAAATAAATTATTTTATTTTTTTTTTGGAATACTGTTAAATGCTGATTCCTATGCCATATGTCAATCAAGATCCAGTTTGTGATTAAAGTAGCAGTTGAGCTCATTTACATTGTTAGTGAACTTAATGGGGTCTAACAGCATGAATGCAGCATTGAGGCTGTCATTTTCAGCTTCTACATGAAGATTAAAATCATCCACTATAATAATTTTCATTTGTTGTTATAGGGATGGTGTTTGCTAGGTTTCACAAAAAACAGGAATGATCAACAATAGCATTTCAGCCTTCATTTTGTGCCAGTTAGGTTAATGTACTTCATGGTGACTGATGACTGAGCTTAGCTGAGGTTTTCTGACATAAAGGGCAGAAAGGAAAAAGAAAGTAACTTTCAAACCATTAACGTACCTTTTAACTATTAGACATAATTAAACATTAAAGTATTTTTTTCACATTTGAGTCTGCTTCACATGTCATTTACATTTTATGTACCTGTCTGTTTCTTCTTTCATTTTTGCTGTTAATAATAAATTACAACATCACTTAATCACATTAAAGTGTAGCAGCTGAAGTATTTTTATACCGACCATCCATTTTTTCCTGGGGTCTACTCCCAGTTAGACATACCCTGCCATTTATTTCATGACAATGATGTTGAAATGTCACAAAACCTGAAATACACATTTTTGCTTTTATGACATTTAGAGTGGTTTGAAAATTGGTTTGGTTGCAAGCACTTGTTGAATCTTTGCTATGAGTTTAAACTGATTCTTTGATTCCATCACAGAGTGAACCAGGAGAGCTCAGAGGTTCCCACTGGTCAGTCTGCCCAGCAGCATCAAGCACAACTGAACTCAATATTTATGGTATGTACATGTACAACAACTACTCTTACATCTATTCTGTTCACAGTCATCTCCATGCTGCTCTTTGTAGACCAGTAGATTGTCAGTGTGTCCAACATGGATCTGATGTTTGTCTCCATGATTTCAGTCTGATTGGCTCATTCATAAAGTATTCTGTTCCAGCTGCTGGAGGAAAACATCATCACTTTTGTGAAGAAGGAGCTGAAGAAGATCCAGAAGGTTCTGAGTCCAGTTTACCCAGAATGCTTAGAGAGTCGGAGGGAGGAAGATGATGAGGTGTTGGAGGGCAAAGATGAAGAGCAAAGGAGCAGCAGAGAGGCATTTATAAAGATCACACTAAACTTCCTGAGGAGAATGAAACAAGAGAAGCTGGCTGACTGTCTGGAGAACAGTAAGATTTCTATAAAAGAAGAACTTTAAGAAAAAAACAAAACATAAAACATTATGTAATGCCTTTAAAACCATGTCTACATATTCCATATCTTATTCAAAAGCATGATTTGAAAAAAAAAATGTGCTCAATTTCATGCCAGTAACAAATTAGTTCTGTAGTGTGGAGATTTTTGCTTTTTAAAACACGCAGGAGCATGCGGTTCAAATGGTTTCAAAAGAATCTTTCAATAAAGGCAGGTAATAACACTAATAATATTTAAGCCGTGATTCTTAAGCGTGCAGGTGTCAAGCTCCAGCCCTCGAAGGCCGGTGTCCTGAAATCTTTACATGTGTCCCTGCTGCAACACACCTGGGAAAAAAAAGGTTATTAGTAACACTCTGTATAACTTGATTGCATGCTGAGGGGGCAATTCAGCCATTTGATTCATGTTACAGCAGCTCATTATTGAATGAGTATGGTGCAATAAGAGTACTTTTAGAAGTACATTTTTCCAAACACTTACATTTATTTTTATTTACTTGAGTAGAATTAGGGGTTGCCACATGAGCATACAGTCAAATTTGATAGTCTAGTTAATGACCAACTAATTTTGTGCAGTTGTGTTGCAGCAAGGACACATGCAAAAGTTTCAGGACACCGGCCCTCGAGGACTGGAGATTAACACCCCTGCTTTAGAGCATGGACAAAGCCTAGCTGAATTGAAATGCAGTTGCGTAAAGATCTAGAGTGCATTTTCAGTTTCAGACAGAAAATAGTTAATATGTAAAGTGAAAATAAGGACCTGTACAAAGAGAATTTGCAAGAAGAAGACATAACTTGGGAATATCACCCATCTACCAGCAAAACAGACTTCAGGTTGATGTGCAATAAAATAAAAGAGTTGAGTATAAAAATGTCGGTGTGTGTGTGTGTGCCCACGCACATGTCTTTGTATCATTCAGAAACCGTTGCTGCAGCTTGTCAACATAACCTTAAATCTGCACTCAAGAAGAAGTTCCAGTGTGTTTTTGAGGGGATCGCTAAAGCAGGAAATCCAACCCTTCTGAATCAGATCTACACAGAGCTCTACATCACGGAGGGAGAGACTACAGTGGTCAATGATGAACATGAGGTCAGACAGATCGAAAGAGCATCCAGGAAACCAGACAGACCAGAAACAACAATCAGACAAGAAGACATCTTTGAAACCGCACCTGGAAGAGATGAACCAATCAGAACAGTGCTGACAAAGGGAGTGGCTGGCATTGGAAAAACAGTCTTAACACAGAAATACACCTTGGACTGGGCTGAAGACAAAGCCAACCAGAACATCCAGTTCATATTGCCATTCACCTTCAGAGAACTGAATGTGCTGAAAGAGGAAAAGTTCAGCTTGGTGGAACTTGTTCATCACTTCTTTACTGAAACCAAAGAAGCAGGAATCTGCAGCTTTGAAGACTTCCAGGTTGTTTTCATCTTTGATGGTCTGGATGAGTGTCGACTTCCTCTGGACTTCCACAAAACTAAGATCCTGACTGACCCTAGAAAGTCCACATCAGTGGACGTGCTGCTGACAAACCTCATTAGGGGGAATCTGCTTCCCTCTGCTCACCTCTGGATAACCACACGACCTGCAGCAGCCAATCAGATTCCTCCTGCATGCTTTGACATGGTGACAGAGGTCAGAGGTTTCACTGACCCACAGAAGGAGGAGTACTTCAGGAAGAGATTCAGAGATGAGGAGCTGGCCAGCAGGATCATCTCACACATCAAGAATGCTCGAAGCCTCCACATCATGTGTCACATCCCAGTCTTCTGCTGGATCACTGCTACAGTTCTGGAGGATGTGCTGAAAACCAGAGAGGGAGGACAGCTGCCCAAGACCCTGACTGAGATGTACATCCACTTCCTGGTGGTTCAGGCCAAAGTGAAGAAGGTCAAGTATGATGGAGGAGCTGAGACAGATCCACACTGGAGTCCAGAGAGCAGGAAGATGATTGAGTCTCTGGGGAAACTGGCTTTTGATCAGCTGCAGAAAGGAAACCTGATCTTCTATGAATCAGACCTGACAGAGTGTGGCATCGATATCAGAGCAGCCTCAGTGTACTCAGGAGTGTTCACACAGATCTTTAAAGAGGAGAGAGGACTGTACCAGGACAAGGTGTACTGCTTCATCCATCTGAGTATTCAGGAGTTTCTGGCTGCTCTTCATGTCCATCTGACCTTCATCAACTCTGGACTCAATCTGCTGGAAGAGCAAACAACCTCCCAGAAGTCAAAAACAGGACAATCTACATTTAAACAGTTCCACCAGAGTGCTGTGAACAATGCTTTACAGAGTCCAAATGGACACCTAGACTTGTTCCTCCGTTTCCTCCTGGGTCTTTGTCTTCAGACCAATCAGACCCTCCTACGAGGTCTGCTGACACAGACAGAAAGTAGCTCACAAATTAAAAAGAATACAGTCCAGTACATCAAGGAGAAGCTCAGTGAGAATCTGTCTGCAGAAAAAAGCATCAATCTGTTCCACTGTCTGAATGAACTGAATGATCGTTCTCTAGTGGAGGAGATCCAACAATCCCTGAGTTCAGGAAGTCTCTCCACAGATAAACTGTCTCCTGCTCAATGGTCCGCTCTGGTCTTCATCTTACTGTCATCAGAAAAAGATCTGGATGTGTTTGACCTGAAGAAATACTCTGCTTCAGAGGAGGCTCTTCTGAGGCTGCTGCCAGTGGTCAAAGCCTCCAACATAGCTCTGTGAGTACAAACACAGATTCATGGTTGTATATAATATAATTTAAGTACTCTACACATTTCCAAATTACACAGGTCTGGAGACATGATGCTAATGAAAATAGTTAGTAAAAATAAAAAATATACTTAAAATTATACATACAAGTTGGCATTGTATCAAGTATGGAATTCTTATCCCAAATTTCAAATGTTATATTATCTGTTTGACCACTGGATCTCTACTCTGATCTTAGATTTGATCTTTCTAATTGAAAAAATCCAGTGATGTTGTAAAGAAAACATTTTCTTGTTGTTTTTGGAAGTGTTTTTTAAGCTTAATCTAATATCCCACAGGTTTTAAAGGTACTGTGACTCACAGAACCCAATTCTATAATTCATATAACTTTTGGAATTTTTTTGTTGATATATTACCTCGCTAAAGTATGTGTAGCCAACTGTTTGACCCTGATGGAAAACATGATATTGGTCATCTTTCTCAGAGCAAGATCATCATTCTATCTTTTGAACTGGCCTGGCAGGATGGGCTCATAGTAAATTAATTTATTTTTTTGGTCTTTTTTTTTTGTACAGCTTTTTGGGTTGAGCTCTGGACTTTGAGCCATTGCAACACCTTAAATGTTTTATTTTTCAGTCATTCTGCTGCACATTTTCTGCTGTGCATTGGCTTATTGTTCTGTTGTATGACCAAGTTCGGGCCAAGGTTTAGCTTTTCAACAGATGACATCACATCTGACTCTAGAATACTTTGCTAATCAAAGAACCTCATGGTCAACTGAATAAATCATGTCAAAAAACCTTTATTTATCCCCAAGGATACAATTTGTTTTTGTTTTTTTCTTTTCGTCAGATTGAGTGGCTGCAACCTCTCAGAAAGAAGCTGTGAAGCTCTGTCCTCAATTCTCAGCTCCCACTCATCTAGTCTGAGAGAGCTGGATCTGAGTAACAACATCCTACAGGATTTGGGAGTGAAGTATCTGTCATTTGGACTGCAGAGTCCAAACTGTACTCTGGAAATGCTCAGGTTAGAATAATTTACGTTGGTTCTAATACCTAAATGTAATATGTAACAAATTCATTTCTAAACAAAGTTTAATTCATGAGATTATATCACATTCAAATAAATGTGACTCCATAATGTAGTGGTTAACACTATTATTTAGCAACAAAATATCACTGGTTTAATTCCAGGTGCATTAGTCAAGACAAACTGAAGGTAGCTATCAAGGGAATGAAGTGTGGAGAGATGACAGGAGAGGGACATTTTGACCAGACTTTCTAATACAATCTTGGAGAGTCAGATAAGGCCTTATAAAATGAGAAGTGTATTGTTGCTAATTATCAAGAATAAGTGTGAAAAACTATACCATGAAGCCATGGCAAAGAGTTATTCAAGCTAGGTTAAGAAGAGTGGTGAAGATTAATGAGTAGTATGAAGATTTCACTACAGATGCAGTGTTTGCTTTCAGTGTTAATGAAGAAGTAAAGAGAAGGTCAGAAAGAGATGTACTGTGTCTTTGAGGATTAAGTGAAAAATATGATAGGGTGCCAAAACAGGAACTGTGGTAATACATCATAAGTTTGCAGTGAAGATGGACAGGTTTACACATAAATGGTAAATGGCCTGTATTTGTATAGCGCTTTACTAGTCCCTAGGGACCCCAAAGCGCTTTTACACATTCAGTCATTCACCCATACATTCACACACTGATGATGGCAAGCTACATTGTAGCCACAGCGCTATACAAATACAGGCCATTTACCATTATTCCTAGTCTCACCTGTCAGAATGTTTGTGATATGACATATGGAGGCTAAAACTGTGTGCATGGTATCATCCATATGGTTTGGATACAAACAGACAAGAGGCCAAACTGGAGGTGGCAAAGCTAAAGATGTTAAGATTTTTTTTTGAGGGGGGGAGCAACCAAAACTGATCAGTAAATCAGATAGACAGTTCATGTAGAGTGGATTAGCGAGTTAGAGAGGCAGGAATAAGATGATTTGGACATGTGCAGAGGAAGGATTATGAATGTTATTGATATATTTTTACTTTTTACTTTTTTTATTTATTTGTTTTGTTTTGTTTCTTACCTTTCCTTTTCAGTTTAAGGGGCTGCAACCTGTCAAAGAGAAGCTGTGAAACACTGTCTTCAGTTCTCAGCTCCAAGTCATGTAGCCTTGAAGAGCTGGACCTGAGTAACAATGATCTGCAAGATTCAGGCATTAAGTTTCTGTCTGTTGGACTGAAGAGTCCACACTGTACTCTGGAAACTCTCAGGTTAGGATAATGTTATGTAGTTTAATTGTTAAGATAAAAAAATGACTTTATGATTGAAGTTTCAGATATGAATTAGTGAGATTATATGGAAGTTTTCAGGTGGACCGGAGAGTTCACACTGCAAACTGAAAAATTTCAGAATAAATTTATTTGATGTCACTGATGTGTTATTCTCATTAACATTTTATCAATAGATAGACAAAATGATAAATATAACAAGGATTATGCACTTGAATCAGGTACGGGGTTGGGGGGTGAGGGGTGAAGAAAAAAGAATTCAGTCGACTATAATTTTTTTTGTACACACTATATTTTAAACAAATACTTTCAACCAAAAGAAACCATAAAAAAACACCCTCCGTCAGTGTTATGTGTGATTCTTCTTAGTACGTCATGATCTAAAAAAGACCTTTTATCTTTCAACAGTCTCTCAGGTTGTCTGATCACAGAAGAAGGTTTCACTTCTCTCCTGTCATCTGTAAACTCTAATCCCTCCTGTCTGAGAGAGCTTGACCTGACGTACAATCATCCAAGCGAAACATTGTTGAAGCAGCTTTTTTTTAGACCGGAGGACATGCTCAGGTATGGAGAAACCTACTGCAACAATAAACGGTGTCTAAGGAGTGAGAACAGAAAGATTTCCTCTGTCATAATGTTAGCATGCCTCATATGAACCTTTGCACACAAAACTGATTCCAAACAAGCTCTTCCTACACCTGATCTATTTTTAATCATACCAAGCCAAGACCACAAAATGGTTTACACTATTAAAATAGAATAGAATAATCCTTTAATTGTCCCGCAAGGGGAAATTTGGGTGTAACAGCAGCAAGAAAACACATATACAAACAAACAGTACACAAGACACAAAACTGAAACTTACACAATTTTTACATATTTACATGAAGGACAATGGTTACCAAAAACAGAGTACCATACTGTTGTTAAATTAAATAAAATTAAATACAGATAAGAGGCAACCCTGGTTATAGTGTGAATCGGTTGATAAAATAGTGCAAGATACAGCATAGATGTAAACATCTATGATTGTTGGGAGCAGTTCTGATTGTACAGTCTGACAGCTGCAGGGAGGAAGGACCTGCAGAAACGCTCCTTCATGCATCTAGGATGCAGCAGTCTGTCACTGAAGGAGCTCTGCAGTTCAGCAACATCTACATGCATGGGGTGGGAGACTCTGTCCATCAGAGATGTTATTTTGGCCAGAGTCCTTCTGTCTCCCACCACCTGCACTGCACACGGTGCATCGCAGAACAGAGCTGGCCTTCCTAATGAGTTTATCCAACCTCTTCCTCTCAGCTGCTGATAAACTGCTGCTCCAACATACAACAGTGTAAAAAAAGACAGATGCCACTACAGAGTCATAGAAGGTCTTTAAAAGCGCTCCCTGTACTCCAAATGACCTCAGCCGCCTCAGCAGGAAGAGTCTGCTCTGACCCTTCCTGTACAGAGCATCAGTGTTGTGGCTCCAGTCCAGTTTATTATTCAGGTGAACACCCAGGTACCTATAAGAGTGCACTATCTCAATGTCCACTCCCTGGATATTCACCGGTGTCATTGTGGTATCTTGATGCATGCTCAATCATCCAGGTAAGGAAATCCCAAAATTATGGGAAAAACGTTTCGTCATGAAACATTTCTCCCACTGTGGTAGTTTAGAATATTTTTAATAAATAAACACTAAAAACCACACCAATAATCACGCAAATGCAATGGTATCAGACTGTGCATCTCTAATCGAAAACTATCCTGTAGGTGATGCAGATATTTTAGCAGACATTGGATAATACATCAAATGTAGTACACTAAAATATTTTTTTCTTGGATGATATTGTAAAGTCACTTGTGCTCATCCTATCTGCAAATCTGGTACTAGGTATGATATTTAAGCTCTCTTTCAACCTGAATAGTCTGCAAGCTGTCAAACCAGCTTTTCCACTGCATTAACCAGTGTAATGTATGTTGTTATTGTTGCCTTCTCTGTTGTATGAGGAAATGTCTTTTTGGTAATCGTCCTGTCTTTCAATGTTTCATCCATGCATATGGAAGGGCAGAGTGTCAAAAGAGCATCTGACACCTGTGATAGAGCTGGGGCTGGTTTTTGTTTTAATTAATAAGTACAGTGATGAAATGTGTATATCTAGCAAGAAATGACTTTACTATCAGATCAAATTGCAAAAAACAAAACTTGAATTTTTCTGTTAAGAACAGATTATCTTTAATGTCCGCACATGTGTGTAATGTCCATGTGTGCATGCTGAAAGACACTGTGCTGGTCTGACCCCCCTCTTCCTTTCAGGGTGAAGCCTGCTGGAGTCCAATGGTTAAGACCAGGTCTGAGGAAGTGTAAGTGTGTTTTTAATGTGATTCATGAAAAAACAAAGCAGCACACATTTAACCATCTTCAAACTGTCACATCACTCATTCACATCTTAGATATCAGGAGTCATCATCAAAATGTGAATCAATGAACAGATGATGGAACAATAACTGCAGCTGGATTGTGTTTGTTCTCTCCATCAGATTCCTGTCAACTTACATTTGATGTAAACACAGCACACAGGAAGCTCAAACTGTCTGACAACAACAAGAAGGTGACATGTGTGAAGGAGGATCAGTCATATCCTGATCATCCAGACAGATTTGACTTCTGGAAGCAGCTGCTGTGTAGAAAAGGTCTGACTGGTCGCTGTTACTGGGAGGTTGAATGGAGAGGAAAGGTTGATATATCAGTGAGTTCCAGACGAATCAAAAGGAAAGGCGAGAGTGCAGACAGCAGGTTTGGATGGAATGATCAGTCCTGGAGTCTGATCTGCTCTGATGGATGTTACTCTGTCTCACACAATAACATAAAAACATCCATCTCCTCCTCCTCCTCCTCCTCCTCTGTCTCTAACAGAGTAGCAGTGTATGTGGACTGTCCTGCTGGCACTGTGTCCTTCTACAGAGTCTCCTCTGACACTCTGATCCACCTCCACACCTTCAACAACATATTCACTCAAACTCTTTATCCTGGTTTTGGAGTCTGGGCTGATTGGTGTGATTCCTCTGTGTATCTTTGCAAAGAAGTGTAAACTCCTTTTGGAGAAACATTCACTGTTGATGAAATGGTTCTCTCTGTACAGGATTGAACACAACAACATTGAATATTAAGACCATGATCCATATCTCTTTTTATCACAATATACAGGGAGTGCAGTTAATGTTTGATTAAAGTATTTTAATATGATTTTTTTCAAGTTCATTTAACCCTTTAAAGCCGGTCGGAGCGGCACGCTCTGTTTTGCGTAACTATTTTTAAATCCCGGTAGCTCTGCAACCACGTGAGCTAGCGCAATAATTTTTTTTGCATATGAAACCTGAGGAGT